GAAGAAATGGATAAATTCCTAGAAATGTACAATCTCCCAAGACTGAATCAGGAAGAAATAGGAAATCTAAACAGACTAATTACCATTAATGAAATCAATCAGTAAAAAAAAACAAAAAAACAAAACAAAAAAACAAAAAAAACTTTCAACAAACAAAATTCTAGGACCAGACAACTTCCCAGGTGAATTCTACCAAACATTTAAAGAAGAGCCAATCCTTCTCAAACTATTCCAAATTTGAATAGGAAGGAATGCCTCTGAACTCATTCTGTGATGCCAGAATCACCCAATCACTCAGATACCAAAACCAGACAAAGACACCACACACACACACACACACACACACACACAATTATAGGCCAACATCAAGAATGAATATTGCAAAAATCCTCAATAAAATATTAGTACAAACTGAATTCAACAATACATTAAGAGACATACACCATGATCCATGGGATTTATACCTAGGATACAAGAACAGTCAGTATACACAAATCAATCAATGTGACACACTATGTTAACAAATTGAAGAATCAGAATCATATGATTATATCAGTAGAGGCAGAAAAAGCTTTTGAAAAAATTTAATATTCATTTATGATAAAAATAAAACAACTCTTGGGTCTTCCCTGGAGGTGCAGTGGTTAAGAATCTGCCTGCCAAGGCAGGGATCATGGGTTTGAGCCCTGGTCCAGGAAGATCCCATATGCCGCGGAGCAACTAAGCCCATGCACCACAACTACTGAGCCTGCGCTCTAGAGCCCATGAGCCACAACTACTGCGTCCTCGTGCCATAACTACTGAAGCCTGTGCACCTAGAGCCTGTGCTCCACAACAAGAGAAGCCACCACAATAAGAAGCCCACGCACCACAATGAAGAGTAGCCCCCGCTCACTGCAACTAGAGAAAGCCCGCATGTAGCAATGAAGACCCAACACAGCCAAAAATAAATAAATAAAATAAATAAAAATTAAAAAAAAACTCTTAACAAAGTGGGTATAGAGAGAACATACCTCAACATATATATGGCAAGCTCACAGCTAACACCATACTCAACACTGAAAAGCTGAAAGCATTTCCTCTAAGATTAGAAACAAGACAAGAATATTCACTCTCACTCTTTCATTCAACATAGAACTGGAAGTCCAAGCCACAGAAATCAGACAAGAAAAGAAATAAAAGTAATGCAAAAAAAAAAAAGTAATGCAAATTGGAAAGGAATAAGTAAAACTATCACTGTTTGCAGATGACATGATACTATATACAGAAAAATCCTAAAGATGCCACCAAAAAACTACTAGAACTCATACAATAAATTCGGTAAAGTTACGGGATACAAAATTAGAATACAGAAATTTCTTGCATTTCTATACACTTAACAACAAACTATTAGAAAGAGAAAATAAGAAAACAATCCCATTTACAAGTGCATCGAGAAAAAAAATACCTAGGAATAAATCTAACCAAGGAGGTAAAAGACTTGTATTCCAAAACCCAGAAGACATTGATGAAAGAAATTGAAGATGACACAAACAAATGGAAAGACACAACATGCTCATGTCTCGGAAGAATAAATATGATTAAAATGGCCATGTTCCCCATGGCAATCTACAGGATTGTTGCAATTCATATCAAAATACCAATGTCATTTCACATATCTAGAACAAATAATTCTAAAATTTGTATGGAAACCAAAGGAACTCTGAATAGTCTAAACAATCCTGAGGAAGAAGAACAAAGCTGGAGGCATATCATGCTCCCTGATTTCAAACTATATCACAGAACTACAGTCATCAAAACAGTATGGTACTGATGCAAAAACAGACACATAGATCAATGGAACAGAATAGGGAGGCCAGAAATGAACCCACACTTCTATGATCAATTAATCTATGACAAAGGTGGCAAGAATATAAAACGGGTAAAAGATAGACTCTTTGATAAATGGTGTTGGGAAAACTGGATACCTACAGACAAAAGAATCAAACTGGACTACTCTTTCACACCATATACAAAAATAAATTCAAAGTGGATTAAAGACCCAAACTTAAGTCCTGAAACTGTAAAACTCCTAGAAGAAAACATAGGCAGTACATTCTTTGACATTGGTCTTAGCAATATGTTTTTTAGATCTGTCTCCTCAGGCAAGGGAAACAAAAGCAAAAAATAAATATATGGGAATACATGAAACTAAAAAGCTTCTGTGCAGTGAAGAAAACTATCAACAAAATGAGAAGGCTGCTGAATGGAAGAATATATTTGCAAATGGTATATCTGATAAGGGGTTAATATCCAAAATATGCAAAGAACTCATACAACTCAACATCATAAAAAAAAAACCTAATTAAAAAATGGGTAGGGCTTCCCTGGTGGCGCAGTGGTTGAGTCCACCTGCCGATGCAGGGGACATGGGTTCGTGCCCCAGTCCAAGAAGATCCCACCTGCCGCGGAGCGGCTGGGCCCGTGAGCTGTGGCCACTGAACCTGTGCATCCGGAGCCAGTGCTCCACAGCGGGAGAGGCCACAACAGTGAGAGCCCCGTGTAAGGCAAAATTAAAACAAAAAACAAAACAAAATAAAAAATGGGTAGAAGATCTGAATAGACATTTTTTTTCCCCAAAGAAGACATACAGATGGCCAACAGACACATGAAAAGATGCTGAACATCACTCATTATCAGGGAAATGCAAATCAAAACTACGGTGAGATATCAGTACACATCTCTCAGAATCACTATTATCAAAAAGTCCACAAGTAACAAGTGTTGGCAAGGATGTGCAAAAAAATGAACCCTCATGCACTGAACAGCCACTATGGAAAACAGTATGGAGCTTTTCAAATAATTAAAAATAGAACTACCATATGATCCAGCAGTTCCACTTCTGGGTATTTATCTGAAGAAAACAAAAACACTAATTTGAAAAGGTATATGCACCCCTATATTCATTGCAGCATTATTTACAATAACTAAGATATGGAAGCAACCTAAGTGTACATCAGTAGATGAATGGATAAAGAAGATGTGCTATAAATATACAATGAAATATTATTTAGTCATAAAAAATGAAATCTTGCCATCTGTGAAAACATCGGTGGACATAGAGGATATTATGCTGAGTGAAATAAGTCAGACAGAGAAAGACAAATATTGTACTATATGATTTCACTTATATGTGGAATCTAAAACAACAAATGAATAAACATAACAAAACAGACTCATCAGCACAGAGAACAAATGGGTAGTTGGTGGAGGGGAGGAAGGAAGGGGAATGAAAAGAAAAAAAAGGTAACCATGTGAGGCAATGAATGCTAATTAGCTTGATTTTGGTGATCATTTCACAAAATATATTTATCTGAAAGCATCACATTTTACACCTTAAGTATATACAATTTTTGCCAGTTATACCTCAATAAAGCTGGAAAAACATTTGAAAAGGAGACATAACAACAAAATGTTAACTGTAAAACAATCCTGATTTGATTAGCTCAATTATAAAAACAATAATAAAAATATGACTTTTTATCTCATTATGAAAAAATGAATGTGGAGTAGATGATAGGTGATACCAAGAGGCTGTTATTACTCTTGTGTGATACTGACATTGAGGTTATACAAGAAAACTCTTATTTTCATCAGAGAAGCATTCTAGATAACATAGGTTTTATGACTTGACTCAAGCATGTTGGCACCAAAAGCAAAGGCTATAGAGAAATAAACAGAAGGAGGGTAGAAATATTGTGATGCCTGTTGTATCTGGGCGATGACTATATAGGACACATTTTATCATTTTCTCTTGTTTTGTGTGAGTTTGCAAATTTTTGTGATAAAAACTGATTTTTACAAATGTAGATAAAAAGTTTGAGGACACGGAGATGTAAATTAAATCCAATGTTGTGTGGTTGTTCTAAGTCTATGTCTGACCAAATGTCTCCATGAGAGCATGTTATCAAGCATCACTTAAATTGTCTATTTAAAATGTAAAAGAAATGCCCCATTCCTTTTTTTGTAAAATAGTTTTATTGAGATTTAATTTACCAACCATAAGCTTCACTCATTTTAAGTATACAATTCAATGATTTTAACATAGAGTTGTAATCTAATTTTAGAACATTATTTTCTACCCAAAAAGATCCCTGCTGCCCATTTGCAGTAAATTCCAATTCCAGCTCTGGGAAACTACTAATCTACTATCTGTCTCTACCGATTTTCATTTTCTCATATTTCATTTAAGTCAAATCCTACAGTATATGGCTTTGTATCTGCCTTCTTTCATTTAGCATAATCTTTCGAGGTTCTTTCATGTTGTAACATGTGTCAGTGTTTCACTCTTTTGTATTGCCGAATAGTATGTATGTATATTCACATTTTGTTTATCCATCCACTAAACAATGGTCCTTTGGATTACTTCAGCTTTTTGGCTGTTATGAATAATCCTGCTATGAACGTTTGTGAACAAGTCTTTGAGTGAACATAGGTTTTCCTTTGTCTAGGGTAGATACCTGGGAGTGGAGCTTTTGGGGCCTTACAGTAAACTGAAGTTTTACCATTTTAAGTAGCTGCCAAACTGTTTTCCAAAGTGGCTGCACCATTTTACATTCTCATCCACAATGTATGAAGGTTCCAGTTTCTTCTCCACATCCTCACAAGCCCCTGCTATTGCTTGTGCTTTTTATTAAAGCCATCCTAGTGGGTATGACGTAGTATCTCACTGTGGTTTTAATTTGTATTACCCTGGTGGCTAATGATACTGAGCATCTTTCCACGTGCTCATCAGTCATTTGTATATCTTCTTTAGTGATATAACTGCTTCAAGCTTTTGTAAATTCTGAGAAAAAGAAATTTGTATGAATAGTGCTTTTTTCTGTTCATATATATATATAATCTTAAAGATCTGTATCAATAGTTGGAATGATACATAGGATATGAATTATACACAAGGCCCTATGATTCTGAATGACCACTTTAACTCATATCTAATAGGCTTTTCTTTTCTTCTGCAGACCCAGCGAACTCAGCCCCGTCCATACTGGATGGGTTTGATCATCGCAAAGCCATGGCGGGGCAGCGTGTGGAGTTGCCTTGCAAAGCGCTCGGCCACCCCGAGCCAGATTACCGCTGGCTGAAGGACAGCATGCCCCTGGAACTTTCTGGAAGGTTCCAGAAGACCGTGACTGGGCTGCTTATTGAGAATGCACGTCCCTCAGACTCAGGCAGCTATGTGTGTGAAGTGTCCAACAGATATGGAACTGCTAAGGTGATAGGCCGCCTGTACGTGAAACGTAAGTTGGATGGTAACTTGCAGCGGTGATGGTGGAGCTCTTGTTACAAGCCGACCTCCAGGCTTTCTCTGTAGCCCCCCACGAATCCTCACAGCAGCCCTGCTGAGACCCACAGTAGCCCCATTTTACAGACGAGGAAATTGAGGCTCCAAATTCTCAAGGTTACACAGCTGGAGAGTTGGGAGCCACAGGATATATTTCCAAGATAACATTACCTAGCTGTTGAATTCAGAATGGTCAGCCTGTCTGCAAGTCAGTGGAGGGAGAGGGGCAGGGTGGTGCTGTCAGCAAAAGCAGTGGTGATCAGATCAAAGCAGTTGTCCTTGGCCTGTTTCCAGATGCTGCTTTAAATTTCTAAATGAGGCTATTATCAGCTCTATAGAGGGCTGTATATAAGGTTGTAATTATGCAAATATTGGACTTGGACTCAATATTATAGATAATTTAGGCCAAGTATGGTAGATATATCTCATCTCTAATTGATTTGTAGTGACTGATGTGAGGAAGATGTTGAGAAGGATTCCAAAGGTAGACTCGGAAGAAGGAAGTGTGTGATTGCAGGGGGAAGTGCTCTAACCTAGTTGAAAAGCCTTAATTTTGCCGATGCAGAAACGAAATCAAAGTGAGTTACTCAAGATCACATGGCCAGAAATGAGTGGCAGAACTCTGGTCAAAATATATGGCTCTCAGTTGCCAGTATGCTATCATACATATCTGTATACATAAAAATTTGATGAACTGAACTGAGCAAACTGAATACAAGTCTGACATTGAAAAGGGAGGCATTTTCTTACCCTGGCTTTTTTCCAGCCTTATGCCTGTTTATGGAACTGCCTCTTCAGTGTCACCCTGGGTGTAGACAGCTTTAGCACAATACCAGCCCAACTGAGTACATTTGAAATAAATATCCCAATGACTGCCTGGAATCGGCTGTCCAGACTGAGTCCTGCAAATGTCATTTGAACATGCTTAGGCTGAGATTAGAAAGAAAAGGAGGATAATGCCTGCACAGTTATATTTCGATGGCTGAAGACCCTTGTAGATGAAACAATGCAGCATTGGACAGCCAATGAGAATCACTCCAGTATGCAGGCTCAACACCACCTTTCATGGCTCCCCAGTTTCCGTTGAATGAAGTTTATATCTTAGGATAGTATGGAAAGCATCTCAAGTAAAGCTGTAGGGTCATACTTCTCATAGTTTTTCTTCAAAAAACCCTACTCCTGTGAGATCTAACTTCTTTCTATTCTCATGCAAACCTGTTCCTTCCCTAACTGCAAGTCATGCTGTTTCCTCCTCATGTAATGTAAGACGGTCTTCAAGTACCTGAATGTCTAAAACTTCCCATCTTTCTAAGTCTAATGCAGTGCCTCATTCTCAAAACATCCCGTTTCCCTCCTATCTTCTGCTCAAGGCTCAGAGTATTTTATTGCTTTCTCTGGAAAGGCATTTACCACTGTCTACCTTTTAAAAGTTTTTTGTGGAAAGGTCTTAATTCTGACTATGCTTGTTTTCATCTTTGTACTCTGCCACATCTGGAAAAGTTCCAGATGTGTCTCTATTGCTCCCATCCTCCCTTCTGACTATTCCCTTTGTTTGGTCTCTCTTCTTCAGGCAGAAAGGATGCTCCTGGGTTCCAAATTCCGAAACGTCTTCTATTCCACCTTGTCTCTTTTCTTTCGGTGCCCTCTTTTATTTTATGACTTCAAGTTCCTCCCCTCTGAAAACAGCCCTGAATTTGCACGCTCAGTCTCAGCCTCCTTGTTGAGTGTCAGGTGAGCAGCGTGTCTCCCAATTTTATATCAGATGCTTAGCTGGCACTTCCAAAGAACAGTATCCCAAACTTCTCTCTATCATCTCTCTGCCATTTACCAGCCTCTTGTTATTCTAGACATCGTTCAGCCTCGAACCCTCCAAATGCAAACTTTACGTCCTGGATCCTCTTTAAGGCTTTTCTTTCATGTCCAAGTCCTGCCAAGTCCTAGAGATCGCATCTCACCGTGTTTCTCAGCTGTGCTCTCCACCTCCACCCAGTTCTAGATCGAGTTTTGTTTTGTTCTTTTTTAAATTAATTTTTATTGGAGTAGAGTTGCTTTACGATGCTGTGTTAGTTTCTGCTGTACAGCAAAGTGAATCAGCTATACGTAAACATATATCCCCTCATTTTTGGGCTTCCTTCCCATTTAGGTCACCACAGAGCATTGAGTAGAGTTCCCTGTGCTATACAGTAGGTTCTCATTACTAGATCGAGTTTTAATTGCACCTCAACGAGACATCTGCAATGCCCCTTTGCTGACCAGTTTCCCCATTGTCATCTGTCCAACACAATATGATCGATGGATTCTCCGAAAAATGTGTTTGTCTATAGCACTTACTTGCTAAAAATTCTAGGAAGCTTTCTTTAGCTCCCTCTGATTTGATTCCAAAATCTGGAGGTCTTTTGTGGTCTTGTCCCAGATTGCCTGTGTAATTTTTCTCCCACTGTTCTCCTTCAGAGACCTTGTGCCGCATCCAGACTGATCCAGAACTCTTCCTGAGACCTGGCAGTGCCTCATGCTCTAATTCCTGCAGTTCCCACTGTTCACGAGGTCCTCTCTTCATCCCAGCTGGCCTCAGTCCTATCCATCCTTGATGTCTGAGGACATTCTATCCATCCTCTTCCACACAGTGTACGTCTCTAATGGACGCTTTGGGTTACTGTCTTCCTTCTTGTACTTGTCTTATCCATCTGGAAGACTGAATTCCTTAAAGACTTCACAATGTGGTGACACAGGAAGTCAGTGATAACTGGGGTAAACAACTGGTTTTTGCCATTTACCTGTTGAATGGATTTGGTTAAATTAATTGATCTCTTGGAATAATCGTTTCTTCTGTAAAATGGAGATGATAACACAAAACTTGCAGGACTGTGGGAAGACTGACTTAACTAATGTTCAAAAGATATTTGGTAGCTTTATGGCACATGCTAGTGGCATCACAAATGTTATTCATGTTTGTCTCACCTGTGAGTTTAACCCCATCCTTGGCATATAGTAGATGTTCAATAAATGCTTACGGCATTCAATTGGGTTTGCTGAATGAAAACATAGGAACTCAAAGATGAGAGTTACCATCTATCCAAAGAACTTAGCCTCATTTTAAAGAAAAAAAACCTGTTTCATGGTCACGAATCCTAATATCTACCTGCTTTCTTACAGACATGTGTTACTGGCCCTGGTTAAGCCACATAGGGGAGGGGAGTGAGTATGTGTGTGTGAGAATGGCCCAGAGCAAACCCATCTGTGCCACGCCAGGAGGCGGCAAATAGGATTTAAATATTCAGATATTTCTGTCCTTGCTGGCAACCAGCACATTGCATTTCTTACCGTCAGTGCGTTAACACTCACATTTACTCAGTGAGAAAGCAATCTGACCCATGTCAGTCTATTTGCTATACAGTGAAAGAAGCCTAGAAAAAAAAAAAAAACAACGGATAGTGATGAGGGTGTTCCCAAACAAAATGGTGCACCATGAAATAATACTGAAATAAGAATATATGGAGTGCGTTCTTTTTTTAAGGTTCTTTTCTTTTTATTTTTGCAATGTCATCCCCTACAAAAGCAGTAGAAAGATAGCAGTCTTAACAAGAAATTTACTTCAACAGAAAATCTGTACACATTATCACTTACAGCAATCGTACATGGTAAATTAACCGTTAAAAAAAAATGTTCTTTCTAAATCCCTCTGCTGCCTTAACTCTTGGATTATTATAGGTAGAAGGCCTACCTAGTGCTATTTACAAGTCCCAAATTAAGACTGTATAACTTACATAAAACCTATTAACTTATCAGCTCAGTTTAATATCTTTGACTACTCAGTGCCCTGTATGAGGAAAAAACCCACCTTGGCATATTGACAAATGGACAGAAAGTGCTTGCGAAGATGCCTTTGCCTGTTGTAAGTCCAGTATGTTGTTAAAATGATCTCTACAAGTGTGCTGTTTCTACCTTCTTTTTTTCTCTTCCCCAAAACTCCAGAGCCACTGAAAGCTGCCATCAGCCCCAGGAAAGTTAAAAGCAGCGTGGGCAGCCAGGTTTCCTTGTCCTGCAGCGTGACAGGAAGTGAGGGCCAGGAACTCTCCTGGTACCGAAACGGTGAAGTCGTCAAACCTGGAAAAAATGTCAGGATAACAGGCATCAACCACGAGAACCTTATAATGGATCACATGGTCCGAAGTGACGGGGGCGCGTACCAGTGCTTTGTGCGCAGGGACAAGCTGTCCGCTCAAGACTATGTGCAGGTGGTCCTTGAAGGTCAGTGGGGGCCTCGCTACAGGGTTCGGTGCAAAGAGCCCAAACCCAGAGCGCTCAGGAGCAAGAGTAAAGGGTGAAACACTGCTCGCAACTCACAGTGTTAAGATTTCTGTCTGTCTGACCAGCTAATTCTACCCTAGTTTCTCAAGCTCAACTGGGCAAATAAAAGAATAAGTTCTGGTGAAACGAACATTGTCTATGGTATAGAAGCAACATAAGTAACGTGATTTAACTTAAAGTTAAGTAATATAAACGTTGCCCACTCACGTGTTTAAAGTTACTTGTCAAGATATAGACCTTAGGGCTTCCCTGGTGGTGCAGTGGTTGAGAGTCCGCCTGCCGATGCAGGGGACACGGGTTCGTGCCCCGGTCCGGGAAGATCCCACATGCCGCGGAGCGGCTGGGCCCGTGAGCCATGGCCGCTGAGCCTGCGCATCCGGAGCCTGTGCTCCGCAACGGGAGAGGCCACAACAGTGAGGGCCCGCGTAACGCAAAAAAAAGAAAAAAAAAAAAGATATAGACCTCAGAAACTTGAGATTTATGGTTTGGTTGACAATTCGTTGTCCTCTAGACCAGGGTTTCTCAGGAGCGCTTGCTTTGGAAGGCTGCTTTTATGCACTGTAGGATGTTGCGCAGCCTCCCCTCACTAGATGCTAACAGCGCCTTCCTCCAGTGTGACAAACAAAAATGTCTCTAGACGTTGCCAGGTGTCCCTGGAGGGGAAAATAGCTCCCCCCAAATTGATAAGCACAACTTTGGAGGCAACATTTAGAGCAACATTTCAATGTAGTGCTTGGTGGAGTGAAAAAATGGCTTCTGGTTTGTGGGGTTGTCTATTTGGGTCCATAGAGTCACAGATTTAGGTGAATGGAATTTTTGAAGAATTACCTTGTGTTATCATAATAGGTTTTAGCTATGTTATGTTGTTTTCTTTTCTTAACCGCCTGCTGCCTACTTACATCTTCAAGCTTATCAATCAGCCAGGGAAAGAAGCTATTAAGGTAACAGTCAAGCCAGAGACATATGTTTATCACCAGATAATTGAACTAGCTTTTATCTGTGTATTTGCATGTCTTGTTGGAAATTGTGCCTTCTTATATAATTTAAAATTCATCTGTTATCAACTGATTAAAATAACTACATGAGTTTCATATAGCCTAAAGGAGGAAAAAAGAAAATCCATTTATATATGAAAATAAGTTTAAATATCTCTTGATGCTAAGAGGATATGAAACAGGCTTAGAATGACATTCTTATTTTGATTCGAGCATTTCCTTGCAGACAGTGAGCATTTTAAAACAGAGGCGAAATTAGCTGGAGGCATGGTACTCATATTAAAAGCCTGACACTGTGTTCCACGTAATAATTAAGTGCAGACAGTAATCAGTTTGCACAGAGCCAGTTTGCTAATGATGATGCCCTGTAGTCCTCACGTAGTCACTATTTTTAGATTCTTTGTAGAAAAGGGAGAGATTACCTGTCTAGGGCTGGTTACCTTAGCAACCATCTCCTGTGACGAAGATCCATAATGATGTCGAAAGAGGTAAGGTTATCAGAGAGTGACAGCAAGGAAGATGTCAAAGACACTCAGGTCTTACTGGGAAGATAATGTCTGCTTTCATCACCAAAAAAGCCTGTTGCTTGAATAAAAAGAGGGGGCAGAGGAGCACGCTGAGCCTACTTACGGATTTATTTGTTGCATGTCAGGTACCATTTGGGACAAGAAGCTTCACTTTATTTTTTCTTGTCTGAAAGATGATAATGCTAATGTCACCAAAGAGAGCGGAAATGGAATTACAAATACATTAGCTAGTAACTGCCTTAAAATGGTGTCTAACTAGTATCCTTGTTACGACGTAACCTCCTGTAACAGCTATGGATTAACATGGATTATAGAAACTCACAATACTGTGAACTAAGAATGGCCATTGACATAATGTAGAATCTTGGAATATTTCCTATGAGGACAAAGAAACTGAAATGGAAGTTTAAAGAAACTGGAATCTAATAATTATAGGTTCAAGATCAGACCAGAACACCTGGAAAATGGAATCATAAAGAAGTATAAGAACAAGTCCTATTTCTGGAAATGATGGAGTAGCAGGTATCAGACTAACCTGCAAGAAGATGAAAATTTTGAACTTTGGGAAAAGCAAAATTGTTTGCAGACACTGGGGAAACACCCAGAAGTGGGCAGAAAGAATTTCACCCTTGAAAGAAGGGGAAAATATTAGGTGATTTCTACACTAATACCACATTTCCCCTGAGGATATTTTCCAGGGCTGGTGGGATGGGAAGGTGGGGAAACTAGAACACAAAAAGAAATGCAAAAACTACAGTCTTAACGAGATTGAAATGAATTTTTTTGACTTATTCTTTTCAACATTTTAAAAAAACTATCAATATACATGTCTATATACATCAAAAATAGTCTTTAAAAGTTAGGGCAAAATAAAGATATTTTCAATAAACAAAAGCTTGAAGAATGTTATGCCAGAAGACCTACCTGCACACCAAGAAATGGTAAATGAAGTCATTCATGGTGAAGAAAATGACCTAAAATGGAAACTCAGATCTATAACATGAGAGTATGAGAAATGACAAATATGTTAGTAAACATTTAGCAAAATTGTTTTCTCTCTTTTAATTTCTTTAAACAGCAATTGACAAATTAAACAACTACGCAATTACAATATTGTGTTATAGAGTTTATAACATAAATAGATAGAGTAACACAGTGGACAGAATATAAATTAAATTCTTTGAAATCATTTGTTGCAAAGTTCCTCCATTTCACATGAAGAATGATAATTTTAACTTTTAGTAGATGTGATTAAAATTATATGTACATATACATATGTATAAATTTGCATGTACACATTAATGTTAATATATGTATAAATATGTATGAAAATGGAAAGGCAAATATGGAATGAGAGAAAATATTTAACACAGACATTTATATATAATGTATAACATATATACATATGTCTGACAAACATTATATGTAATTTATATGAGATATCTGACATATACACGTAAAAGTAAACTTGTACTGACTTATATATGTGTATGTATATACCTTGTATCCAGTATATATGTATATATTATATATATACTTGTATTCAGTAGACATAAAGAACTCCTACAAATCAATAACAAAGGCAAATAGTCTAACACAAAAATGGAAAAAAGATTTGAGCAGACATTTTAAGAAAGGAAATACACAAATGACCAAAAAGGACAGGAAAACAACATCACTTCCATGGTATTTGTCAAAAACACAAAACTTGTATCTAATCACCAGGAAATATCAAACTGAATTTGAGCAACTGGCTACAAAGTAACTTCAAACATGTCAAAGTCAAGAAGCGCAACAGAGACTGAGGAATGTTGCAGATCAAAAGCGACTAAAGACAGATTCTAGGTCCGTCCACCTCACTACAAATAACTCAATTTCGTTTCTTTTTATGGCTGAGTAATATTCCATTGTATATATGTGCCACATCTTCTTTATCCGTTCGTCTGTTGATGGGCATTCAGGTTGCTTCCATGTCCTGGCTATTATAAATAGTGCTGCAATGAACATTATGGTACATGTCTTTTTGAATTATGGTTTTCTCAGGGTAAGGGCAGGAATAAAGGCATAGACATAGAGAATGGACTTGAGGACATGGCGGGGAGGGGGAAGCTGGGGTGAAGTGCGAGTAGCATCAACATATACACACTACCAAATGTAAAATAGTTAGCTAATGGTAAGCAGCAGCATAGCACAGGGAGATCAACTCAGTGCTTTGCGAACACCTAGAGGGGTGGGGTAGGGAGGGCAGTAGGGAGACGCAAGAGGGAGGGGATATGGTGATATATGTATGCATATGGCTGATTCACTTTGTTGTACAACAGAAACTAACACAGTATTGTGAAGCAATTATACTCCAATAAAGATCTATTTAAAAAAAAGAGAGAGAGAGAGACTAAGGAGCCACAACAAATAAATGTAATGTGTGAAACTGATGGAACTTGGGAAGATAGCTATAAGGGACATTATTGGTCAATCGGCAGACTTTGCATTAGATAACAGTACCATTCCAAAGTTACATTTCCTAATTTTGCTGACTGTCCCGTGGTTATGACAGGTTACATGAGTGTGTAAAGAGGGCACACTCAAACATGGGTTTGAAACCAAGAACAGGCAAAAGTAATGCATAGTGATAGAAATCAGAATGTGATCAGCTGTGGTGGGTGAAGATTGAAAGAACCCCTAGCAACTTTGTGGGGTGATGGAAATGGTTTTTATCTTGATCGTTGTGTGGTTACGCAGGTATATATATTTAACAAAATTCATTCTGTTTGTAAGCTTAAGATCTATACATTTAACTGTAAGTAAATTTTATCTAAAAAATAAAAGTGTAACTGAAGAAAACTTTCCTAAATAGATAAAAAAAAAACAAAGGCTTGAGATTTCAGTGCTTAGTGTAAAAATCAGTGGAAAGAAATTCACAGCTAAACACATCCTGACAAATACATTGAACTGTAAGGTCAAATAAAATAACCTGAACATTCCCAAGCACGAGCAACTGGTTATATACAGAGAGTGATGGTCAGCATCCCATGTAACTTCTCTGTAAATTCAATGTTGAAGTCATGTCTGCAGTGTTCTACGGGCAAAAGCACAGGCTCTTTATTTTAATATTTTGAAGTTACTTTTGTCATCTTTGGTAGCAAAAGAAAGATGTTTGCAAATCCAAGGACCTTGAAGTATGCTACTTATGAATGCATCTGGGGAGAAAAAAAATACTTGAAGGCCTTCTCCAGCCTCAAAACATTGAGCTGGAATGAAGAAGTTAAGATTCAGGAATTTGCAAATGAAGAGATGTTAGGAGGCTCTAGGGAAGCCACGTGGCTCAGGCCACAGAAATAGGCTTCAGGCTTTTGTGGTGATGAATAACTCTTTCTTCAGGGATAGTTGAAAATGTTAACACTTACCCTTCTGTGATGGAATTGCAAGATAGCCTCAGTTTTATTTCCAGTTTTTCTTTGGTCTATATATACGTTCAAATTTTTCAACAATGAATACATATAATTATTATGATTAAAATTAAAAACTAAAAAAAAATCTGTTCATCATTATCTTTCACTATGATGTTGCGGTCCAGGAGCCACACACCTGGAGTCGAGTTCCCCGGTAAATGCGACCCGTGTCCCAACCAAGGACACCCGAGAATCACCAACACCAAGCAGAAAGATTAGCAAAGGATTTATACAAGTACAAGTATAGAAGCTTACACAAACTGTCCGGACAGGGTCCCACTCGGAGAGAAGTGAGTGAGACCCCGACTAACAGTCGGGCGAGGCCTTTATACCCTTCACAGGATGGGAAGTTCCCAAGGCAGGAGGGAGCTGTTTAATTTTGAATCAGCCAATCAGGATCCCGGTTCTTCCTGCCCCAAGGAAGCAAGTTTCTTACAGAAGCCAAAATGTGCTGTTAGCCCTGAAGCTGTTCTTCCGTTTCTTTCATCACAATGGTTAAACCCTTGAAATTAGCACCAAAAAAATTTTTTTAATATCTCCTCCAGCAAGGTTTATTACCAGACTCAGAAATCCTGTTGCATGTGATCACAATCATGTCAAAATGACCTATCTACGCCTAGAAAAAAAAAGTGTCACTATGTTGATTTATAGTGCCTGCGGCTGGTAGACCCACTGGTAACTTTTCCTTCTTTTGACTTTCATACATTTTTCTCTCTCTCTTTTCTTTAAAGGAAGCCCATATATATATACATATATATATATATATACACATATATATAAAGAAAAATGTATTTGTGATTACTACCATATAACAGGCAGATAATCAATATATGTAATAGAAAAATAATGGAATATGAAAATTTGATCTTTGTCAAAAATAATGGAAATAGCTATGGAAACTTTCCTTAAGATTAATCTCCTTGTTTGCCTGGGACAGTCTTGACTTGTGCCTGTTCTCCTGGTATCTGTTTGTTTTTTTGTTTTTGTTTTTTTTGCGATACGCGGGCCTCTCACTGTTGTGGCCTCTCCCATTGCGGAGCACAGGCTCCGGATGCGCAGGCTCAGCGGCCATGGCTCACGGGCCCAGCCGCTCCGCGGCATGTGGGATCTTCCCAGACCAGGGCACGAACCCGTGTCCCCTGCATCGGCAGGCGGGCTCTCAACCACTGCGCCACTAGGGAAGCCCTCCTGGTATCTGTTTTATTCTCAAAAGTATTCCAGGTTAGATGATAAATTAATGGCCACCCTACTTAAGATACTTATGGAATCTAAAATATGACATAAATGAACTTATCTGTGAAACAGAAACAGACTCACAGACTTAGAGAACAGACTCGTGGTTGCCAAGGGGGAGGGGCGTGGGGGGAGGATGTATTGGGAGTTTGGGGTTAGCAGATGCCCACTATTATATAGAGAATGGATAAACTGTACGGTCCTGCTATGGAGCACAGGGAACTATATTCAGTATCTTGTGATAAACCATAATGGAAAAGAGTATGAAAATGAACCTATATATGTGTATAACCGAATAACTTTGCCTACAGCAGAAATGAACACATTATAAATCAACTATACTTCAATAAAATAAATTTTAAAAAAAGAAAGAAAAGGTACTTATGGAGATATTTAATAATACTGAAAGGGTCAAATTTATTTAGCTTCTACCATTATCAAGGCCTTCATGAAAATTCACATGCAGCTATTTGTCATTCAAACTATAAAACATGATTTCTTAGGAGAAAATTATAAAGATGAGATAATCAATCTCTTAGTTCCTTTTTCCTCTAAACAATTCCCCAGTTGAGGGACTTCCCTGGTGGTCCAGTGGTAAAGAATCCGCCTTCCAATGCAGGGGGACGTGGGTTCGATCCCTGGTCGGGGAGCTGAGATCCCACATGCCGCGGGGCAACTAAGCCCGTGTACCACAACTACTGAGCCTGAGTGCCACAACTAGAGAGAAGCCCGCACACCGCAGTGAAAGATCCCGCGTGCTGCAACTAAGACCCGAAGCAGCCAAAAAATAAATAAATTTCAAAAAATAAATAAAAAACGATTCCTCACTTGAGCAATCCCTAATTAAGTTGGGGGGAGTAGAAAGCTAAAGTGACCATTGGAAGTGTGTGGATTTCCTCTATGTTTATAACTTTGGGTGGGGATATACCAGTTTTGAATTATAAACTTCTTGGGAGATGACATTTTTTACCATGAACATCTGAGTTGCATTATCATTCTTCTTGTTATGACTTCCTCAAGAAATATATAAGAAAATTATTAAAGCTTGCTAATGCTGCGTTTACTTATTTGGAAAATGAAATTTTGTCCTGATTGGAACTTAGCTTTATCAGTAAAACCAGACTTTTGAGCCGTGTCTGAGAAGCAGTACGTGCACATCCTAATCATTAAATAGAAGTTCTCGGAAGTTGTTTAATTATTTGTATGTGCCACTTCCTTCCATGATTTGTCTTCCTGCAGATGGAACTCCCAAAATTATTTCTGCCTTTAGTGAAAAAGTGGTGAGTCCAGCAGAGCCTGTCTCCCTCATGTGCAACGTGAAGGGAACACCGTTGCCCACGATCACGTGGACCCTGGACGATGACCCCATCCTCAAGGGCGGCAGTCACCGCATCAGCCAGATGATCACCTCCGAGGGCAACGTGGTCAGCTACCTGAACATCTCCAGCTCTCAGGTCCGGGACGCGGGAGTCTACCGCTGCACTGCCAACAACTCGGCGGGAGTCGTCCTGTACCAGGCTCGAATAAACGTAAGAGGTGCTTGTCAAATCAGCTCCTCAAAAAACACACATAACTCATTGTAGTGGAGAAGGTTTCTGCATGCACCGAGCCGAGTCTTGGAACGCCAAAAACGGATTAACTGTCGCTTCCCATTTCCTACCCTCTGCTTCCTACTCAGGAGTGGCAGTGATTGGGTTACTGGTGGAGATGGCATTTTGGTTTCTTTAGTCAGCGTGTTCTCTTGTTTTATTCTTAGACTTGTCCACTGGAGCTTTCCTTTCCTGGTTTATGCTGTGCATGCATGCTCTTTTCTTCCTCCTCTTCCATTCTGCTGTGTCCATGGTAACCCTTCACGTACCTGGTATTTAACTGACATTCACAGTGCAACATGGCATAACTTCCATCTTCATAACCTAGTGTACAGAGAGAGTTAAACAACTGAATGGCTACCAGAGTTTTCACCAAAAGAGCATGACTGTTCAGTGCAGCTAGTTACCTTTTATTGATTAAATTGCCTTTTGTCCTATAATTCAAAACATCTTAACAGAAGTAGTTGATAATTAAAGTATTTAACACTCACTCAATTCATTTGAAAGTAACGAAATTAAAAGGAAAAAAAAGAACCTTCTTGTTAGAAAATACCAAATGCAGAAAAAAATGTGCTTAACTGAAACAGATGTCCTTACGTGAAACTAATCTACATTTTTAACTCAAGGAAAAGTGTACCCATTTCCACACATAAGAGGTACCCTTAAATTATTTTCAAGAGTTTCTCTGTGTCTCTCCAGGGCCTGCAAGCATTCGACCGATGAAAAATATCACAGCAATAGCAGGACGGGACACATACATTCACTGTCGTGTGATTGGCTATCCATATTACTCCATCAAATGGTACAAGAACTCTAATCTGCTTCCTTTTAACCACCGCCAAGTGGCATTTGAGAACAATGGCACGCTAAAACTCTCGGATGTGCAAAAGGAAGTTGACGAGGGGGAGTACACCTGCAACGTGCTGGTTCAACCCCAGCTCTCCACCAGCCAGAGCGTCCACGTGACGGTCAAAGGTAAGGCTGTCCCTCGGTCCCCACACAGCTCACCATGACTAAACTCAACTGTTTCACCAGACCAACCGTTAGGAGTGGGGTAATCTCAAAATCTGCGTATTCAGAATAGGACAGTTACAAAGACTGAAGAATGATAAGGTCCATTGGATGTTCTAATCTCTTTACCACTGCATCTTCACCAGAGTGATGGATGATGTAGTCTTCTTTTCACATGAACTTTTGGCTTGGTTTTCCAGGGGATTTGTGTTTTTATAAAATCATAGAAAAAAAGAAACATATCATTGACTTGGTTATCTAGTTGTCTGACAGATTGTTTTAAAACACATAGCTTTGTTTTCCTAAAACCTCCTAAAAGTGAGTTCTTTTAGAAGCCAACTAGAAGACATTTTCTGTAATGGATGAGGACTTCAAACAAAATAGATGAGCAGGTCAAAGCAACAACATAGGAATGCTATGTTTAAAGGACTCCACAGAAAATTTTCCTGCCTTTTAAATTATTCTTGACGTCATGACGTGGACTGTCATGGACTCTAACTGTCAAGATGAGTTTTGGAGATCATGCAGCTCAACACCAATCTCCTTGTCAGTAAAGACCTATAAAGTGACAAGGCTCCCCCAGGGACATACAGCTTTGTAGTGTGGCAGACCCTTAGGGGAACCCGTTTCTTCCATTTCCCAATCCAGTTTCCTCAAGTGAACATAAAATGAAAATTTTCAGTTATGTAAATAATTGCAGGAAACAGGTCATGGAAATAGCTCTAATGCACCATGAAGTAACACCAAAAATATGTGGAAACGGCCTCCTGCCCTGCTAAGCTGCCTGCCTGAGCTACACGGTTATCTCCCTAGGTACCAATAATTGTCTTTAATGTCCTGGTTACAAAGCTGCATAGGTTTTCCATGGTGTTCCCCAACCATCTTTTCTCACAAATCCTGTTAGTTTACCTGTTTAGGGACACCTATAAATACACACACACACACACACACACACACACACACACATGCACACACACACAATGTATTGTATTATGTAGTATATGTTAGGTAACATGTATTATGTATTACATATTACATACACCTGCATATAACTTTGAATTTTTTAAATAACCACATATCTTAAGAATTTTCTCAAATCATTAGAAATTCTTAGTAAGCCAGATTGCTGCATAAAACTTCATTTTGTGATTGTATTTATTTCTTTTACTATGATGGATGGAATATCTACCCTATGCCCGGTAGGTCAATACCTCAGAAAATAAGTTCTACTTGATGACAAAGAATTTTCCCTAGAAGAAACCAACCCCAGGGATAAAAAGAAGCCAAGCAAAGACCATCGGTTGGGAGGGTGGGAGTGGGCACCAGATGGAAGGAGGCTGTCAGGTGTGGCAATCAGATCAGAGAGGCAGAAAGCAGAATGCCCTCCAGATGCAAGATGATATTAAAACCAAAGAGATCTATAAAACTTATAACAGCCAAATGATCAGAGATAGAGACGTGCCCGGCATTCTCTAATGACAGCTTTCCAGATGACAGATTAAATGTCTCCATGGACCCCACCATGTGAGAGTATCACACACTAAGAAAAATTTGATTCGAAAGACTTTAAACAATGGGTTTACCAAGAAGCTGGGAATACAAAACTTGCTAAAGAAATCTATATTCCACTGCTGTGCATTCATTGTAAGTTAATTTTTTGTGCACATGCCTGGGCAGAGGAGAGAGTATATACTTTTTGTTAATCGTTGCTTCAAAACATGCTTTCTTTTGTTTTAAGGAGCAATGTCTAAACTAAATATAAATACAGTTGGCTATTAATACTACAGTATATTCCACCTTACTTTTATTGAATTTTATCTTTTGGGGTAGACAAATGAAACTGCAGATACTGCAGGCTGAGTGGATAGGGTTAAGCCTGCTTAAACCTGTGTAGGGCTTCCCAGGTGAAAAATAATAAATTCTGGACTCCTATATGTCAACCTAGGGCATACTTTTTGGAGGTAGTCATATTCACGTGCATTGCACTCTAGCAAAGATATTTAGAGTAATTCGATTTAAGATACCACTTGCATTTCTTGCTTAAAATGACATCTAACTGTCAACATACAGTAACAGTTATACACCATTAACGATCTTAGCCTTTCCTCAGATGTCAGTAGAAAGTCGTAACCATGTAACTTCTGAGAATTTAAATTTGAATTTTAAAATGTTTTGAAATGAAATATATAAGTTAAATCACACTCCAGTGGCCAGGTTTGTAGCCCATCAAAGCTTTTTAAAAAATTAATAACCTTTACTATTTTCAATTATGATAAGGATTACGATAAGGGAGAGATAAGACATCAACTGAATTACAGGAAAAGACTGAAATTTTTGACTCTCCCTGTGGAGCAGGATTGGAAGACAGTCTTCCTTATTTTATTTATATATATTCAGCTCCATTACCTTTGCGGTTAGTGAATACTGTATTCAGATCATTTTAGAAGAGCAAATACAATAACTCAAAAGTTGGCTTCATTTGGAAGTGGGCCCGCTTGTTTCCATTAATAATGCTGCAAACTGTAAAACTAAACCATTTTTATCTTGTTTCCAGGAGGTTTTTCTTTAACACTAGAGTGGTGTGTGTGTGTGTGTGTGTGTGTGTGTGTGCGCGTGTGTGTGTGCACGTGTGCATGCATGTGTGTGTGTGTTTGTGTGTGTGTAGATGACATTTGGAAACAATACTGCTTTTCAGTCATGTCTTTTTTGCTTCTTTTTTCCCCCTTCACTTATTTTGTATCATATGACTTGGGAAATTTTTAAAATATCAAAGATTGATATAAATAACATTTTGATCATTAGCAGTGCCTGAAACTTAAGAAGTTCTAAACTATATTAACGAGAAGTGCAATTTTGCTTCCTTCAAACATGTAGGGAGAAATGAAAGTCAAAATCCCTTTTTTCACTTCATTTCAATTTAACAAGCAGTGTTACATTTAACACAGTTCAGAGCTCTTCCTGCCTCATTTTAGGTGCCACATTGAACTTGAACAGTGCCCAGTTGAGTGTTCTAATTGCTAGGGACCAACACAGCCAGGAAAGTTAATTGGCTGCTAGATAAAAATGTCACCTTCTATTTGTATTTATATAAAACTTTGTCATTTACAGAACACTTTCATAATTGTAATCTTAATTAATATGCACAGTGAGTCTGTAATGTAGATAAAGCATCACCAGCGAAACAGAATAAGAGAGAGCAGGAGACCTGCTCAGTGTTGTCCAGTAATATCTCCAGGACTCAAATACACATCTTTGCTTTCCAGTACCACCCCACAGTGTGTTTTTGAAAAGTAATTCACATTGCAGTGGGAAGCCAGGATTCAAGTGAGGAGAAATTAACTCAAAGTACCTGGGAAGAAAGCTGTTTAAAAAATCAAGAAAGGAGATTATCTTAGAAGTAAGGGTATGAGCTATTGAGTGCCTAACGTAAGAGAGAGGGAGAATTAGTTAAATTGAAAAGAGGAAAAGGAAGGAATGGATTTGGTGAGTGAGCATGGGTAAGAACCAGAGGACTCCAGAAGTTCTAGTCTGGATAATGGAAAGTCCAAGAGTGAGAACCTAAAATATCTTATGAACAGTAGGCTTAGTATCATGTGTCTGTGGACCACCATTCTGGATTCAGACCAGGGGAACTTTGATATAAGAATTTGGGGAGTGGGCTGAAATTAGTAGAGAGCAATGGTTGAAATTGTAACTTGGCAAGTGTGTCTAAGAAGCATCAAGCTTTTGGAACTGTATTTTATGAGTTGTTTTAATTAACGTTTGCCAGCTTGTTGTATTTTTTAGATTCCACGTATAAGTGATATCATACAGTATTTGTCTTTCTCTGTCTGACTTACTTCACTTAGAGTAATGCCATCCAAGTCTATCCATGCTGCTGCAAATGGCAAGGGGTCATTCTTTTTTATGGCCGAGTAGTATTCCATTGTGTGTGTATATATATATATATATATATATATATATATATATATATATATATATATATAACATCTTTCATCTGTTGATGGACACTTAGGTTGCTTCCTTGTCTTGACAATTGTAAATAACACTGTGAACATTGGGGTGCATATATCTGTTTGAATTAGTGTTTTTGTTTTTTTCAGATATATACCTAGGAGTGGAATTGCTGGGTCATATGGTGGTTCTATTTTTAGTTTTTTGAGAAAAAAACTACAATAAACTAGTGAGTAAAATAAAAAAGAAGCAGACTCACAGATATAGAGAAGAAACTAGTGTTTACCAGTGGGGAGAGGGGAGGGGGGAGGGGCAATTTAGGGGATTTTTAAAAAAGATTATTATGGGATTATATGAAATCATGTGTGTGAAACTTATAAAGCATTATAAAATTTAAAGAATCTTTTATTCGATAAAAAAGTTAAAAAATTTATATTTGTCAATAATGAGGTGAGATGGTGATGCTAGAAAGGAAATAAAAGCAGTGACAAAATTCACTCTTTCATATTTCATTTCATTTTCTAAATGTAGCACTTCCCAGTTCTAATTCGAGACAGATTTTTATTGTTTCCTGCTTCAAACTGATGGAAGAGTTAGGTGTCGTTGACAGCATTTCCGACTCATGGTCGTGACCCTTTGTGTTCTGCAGCCTAACTGACACACTCTTCTGCACCATCCGGCAGGAAGATCCTGCTCTCACTGCAGCTTTAGATCATAGGGTGCATCTCACCTTGTCTGTCATCCTAGCGGCCTCACAGAGCTACTGTTGGTGCAGCTGGGGAAATGAACACCCTGTTAAAAATGGTTCTGAGAATGCGTCTGCTTTCCTCCACCTCTCAGTGAGCGGCCAGGAACGTAGTCTTCTAATGACATCATTCTTCAAGGGCTCCTGACAAGCTAATGTCGCTTGGCCCAGGCAGAGCTGCAGCTCTGTGCACGGAAACAACCTTGGCAGTGTCACCCACTCCCACTATTGTGACTGACGTTTGCTCATTTGCTCTTCCAGCCAG